AGAGAGACACCATGCTACCTGTCACTAATTAAAACATATAGATTAGAGAAAGTTCAATCAAGTACACAGGGAGGCTCTCGCTCTCTCATACACACACGCACACGCACAAGGACACCCAGTAGCAATTAGGGGGTTATTTTCTCTGTCATGAAGAATGACTTCTATATTCCAACAAGTAAAAAATCATTCATTTGTCACTTAAAAACAACACCTTTCAGATAATATTACTATGCAGAAATAAACATATCAAAAAGTAGGGATTTGTGCAAAATGAATTAATGTATGTGACTGGCACAGCAACTGTAAGTTTTGTTATGCCATATATGGTAGATAGATGTTGTGTTTTGCTTTTGTCATTTTATGTTAGTGTGCATTAGTGTGTACACAATATTGTCCTCAGGCAGTTTAATTTCAAGTGAGACAGATTATTTTGTCATTAGCTGGGTTAAGCCAGTTAAATTAATTTTAATGCATAATGTTTACGGTCCCACACCAACTATTCACAAATACAGAAAAAATGACAATTTACACATATTGTTGAGTGGGCAGAGATTGGTGTATGCACTTTATTTTTCCCATAACATATAGCTTGCCAGTATCACAATATCAGACTGTTTAGCATAGCTCAAAACAGAAGCAATTTATTTTTATTTTTTGATTTCCCACTGCTTTGAAGCACCACAGTGACTTCCCTTTCCTATGTAATACCTTTCCTTCTCATGTTGCTCTCAATGAAGAGCATTATTTCAGCATGAAACTGCATGTTCTCATATTCTTTTTGTTCCTGTCCCTGTTACTTCATCTCTAATGGGCAATTACTTCAGACCCAATGCTGAGGCCATGTTATTGCACCAAACCCCAATTGATTGGTTGCCCATTCTACTCAGCTTCCACAAGCACTTTAAGGTTAGATTTCCTTGTTTAAATAATGGATTGCAAGCCCATGAAAAGAGACTGCGTGGAAAATAAAAGGTTGAGATTGCTCTTATTGGAGGGGCCTTTCAGTGGAAATGAGAGGGGAACAGATTCCATACAAGTCTCCAGAGAGTCAGCTAGTTATGAGAGACAGAAATGGCAACATATTCTTTTTCTCTTTAAACTACTACTACTACTGATAACGATGATGTTTCTCTATGCATGCATGCTTGTGCCCAAGTTTGTGTTTGTATCTTGAGGCTTAAGGTCAACACTACACAACATTTTACAGGTTTATATTACTTTCTACGGCTACACACAAACAACTCCCTCCCTCCACAGGCTGTTTTTCATAACTCCCATAATGCTACATTTCAGTCAGAGAGAGACATGTCAAACTTAACACAGCAGGAAGTCTACTTGCTGTGGGTACTTACAGGAGGAAGTCAGAGGGATTGTGGGAATTAGTGGAAATATACGTCTCCTCCACTGTTCAAAGCGACTTTGTAGCGCACAGTGCCTACCGGGGGACTGTGTGTATGTGCATGTGCCTGTGTGTGTTTGTGGTGTTTACAGCAGTGCCAATGCCCCCCACTAACACAAGCCAAAACAAGCCTCCTACACACGAGGATACCTTAGGCTCCAATTACTGCTGTGCGTGTGTATGAGGTTGAGGTAAATAATGGCAGAAAAAAGGAAATTCTGGGGAGAAAAGATGGACAAAAAAATTATGGATCAGCATCAAATAAGTTTGCAGGACAAAGAATATTCATACATTAATGCCTGGAGGTTTGTTTGCATTAGAGGACAGGCAAGGTTATTTGGCACCTTTGCTATAAAATCCCCAAACTGAACTATGCCTAACATGTTTAACCTTGAAACAAAAATATTTCATATACACTAATGACTCTGACAATATATAGCCACAAAGTAAAACTAGTCTAAATTATTTATTTATTACGTATCTTCAGTCATAAAGGAATCTTCAAGGAAACTGAGGGTGATTTTATTACATAAAAGTACATTAAGGATAAAAAAGGAAATCATCTAAGTTACAGTATTTCAAAGTTAAACACACTGTACCTGACATAACATACTACCAAAAAGGTATATAAATATCTACTGTAATGTATAAATGACAACTAGGAACAAAGGCACAGATTTATTTAAAACAAGTTGGTTAAGTGGATCTTCTAACTTGGAGGTTGCTTGAATTATAAACTATTTTCAATAGTGTATCAAAAGCACAAAAAATATTATATATATTATATTTATATCATTACAGGATCTTGTTTAGCTCAAAATGCTGCCACATATTCAGCTATTTTTTTCATCAGTTTGAAACTTTCTATTAGACATAATGATTCTGAGGTTGTTTAGAATATCACACTACTCATGTTCCTTTTATCTGTAAATTATTAGTTGCACATAATACACTGAAATATTTTTTTATAGGTATGGGTTAGGCAACAAAGTTCCTTTAAAAAATATGTGAATTAAATTGACTTTGCACTGAAGCAAAATACAATGATCATAGAAAGTCATGCAAAATTAAATGACCTGTGAACAATGTAAAATACAGTTTTGATGAAATGAGATGAAGAAAATTGATGTAAAATGATAACTTCCAGTAATGAGCAAACTAACGGCCACCAACTTTGCCTTGTCATTTTCATTTGAAAGTCATTCCACCTTAGCCAAGGACTCTGTGTGTGTGTGTGTGTGTGTGTGTGTGTGTGTGTGTTAGTGTGTGGGTGTGTTTTGCGTAGGACATAAAGCAATGCGAGAAGGATACAGTAGACACAGTCACACACTGAGCTTTGTAGATATGTGGCACTCTCATATCTGTTTATTGATCAGAGCAGATGTGCGTCAATCAATCTTATCTGGGCTCCACACACTCTCCAGCTAACCTCCAGAGGCAGGCCAACCAATACTGCGCCATACTGAGAGCCCCAAGCCACTCATATTATCATCAGACACCTTCAGCAAATTCTCTCTTTGTACGTGTGTTTGAGTGTGTGAGAATAACGGGGTGCAGAGAGTAAAGGTGCATCAGAGGACAGACAGAAAGAGAGAGAAAGTGATAGCTTGAACTGAAAACCCAGATTAACCTCATCTTTATGTATGCATTATTATCTATTCCTTAGAACTTAGTCTTCTGCACATCACACTGAGGCAGAATCAAACCTCTCGCCATCTGTAAAGTAGGCTGCACAGAAGGCTGGCATTCGCTACAGATTAAGAATCAATGCTAATGGGCCTTTCTAGTACACCGGAGGTGGATGTGATCAAGAAAGAAGTACGACACATCATGCTCAGCAAAACGCATGAAACACAATCAATTCAGCCGTTCCAATGAAGCGGAAAATCTGTGATCAAAGGTACACTGATGCCTTGTTATATGCAAGCTTAAAATAGAACAAATTCATGTCGCCTGTCTTCACTCAAGTGATTTGTTCTATTATGTGTAGTCCATCATTTTAAAAGAGAGTGAATGATGAACTGAAAGAATTTGAAAGTAGGATGTTTGCAACTAGAAGAGGTTACATTTTCAAATAGAATCTATAGGATCTTTATGAAAAATCTAGCATTATTGACTTACCTCGACATACGTTGCCATTGTCAGGTTCAAATCCAGCCTTGCATGTGCAGCTGCCGATAGGAACCATCCACTCTCCGTCCCCATTGCAGTAGAGCTTTATAGGGACATCTACTTCCTCTGAGTTAGGGATGCAGATTCCTCTGGCAATGACCAGGGAAGTGCTCTCAGCCCCTGTCATGGTCTCTGGAAAGATTGCAAAGTTCTGGACCACACTTGGGCACTTCTTATAAAACACCCTGACTGACAGCAGAGACATACAGGCACCATAGTCCTGGAAGGCAAGGTAGAAGCCATTTTTAGACAATGGGCCAAAGCTCCGCACTTCTGTGTTGACCTTCATCAGGCGTCCACCAAAGTCCACCTGCGAAAAGCTTTCATCTGCAGCAATGGTGTCCACCTTGAGGTAAGGGGCCTCCATCCAGAAGGCAGTGCCTTTCGTGGCAATGACAGCATCAGTTTCATAGTAGTAGAGGTTAAACGTCTCCTTGCATGAGCCAGGGACGTTTGGGATGGAGCTGCAGTCGCGCACGGTGAATCGAATCTCCACATAGATGCGCTGTGCTCCACGCCGATCAATGAAGGTGGTGAGGAGCCAGTTGTTTTGACTGGGCTCAAAGACATTACACACCTGGTAGGTCCTGATGGTGTTGAGGTTTTCATCATAGCCACTCACCTCCTCCCACTACAAAAAAGACAAAGAGAGAGAAGTGTGCACATAAATGATTAGTTAATTATTGGTGATATATCTGTGGAGCTTTCTCTGAATGAAAATGCTAATACTGGCTGAGCCACAAAGAATTTGTACACATATCAGTAATCTCCCCAAAGCACAAAATTTGAGTCTACCTCCTGGATCAACAGAAAGGAATCAGCTCATAAAGCTTTGGGTTTTATTTATCCATTAATAATACACAAATGTCTTTCTTTTCTGAATTATAAACAATTCCTTAAGTGCAGCAACAGAAAAAATACCACTTTGCTTTCTTGTTCTCTGAATACACTCAACATTTATAGTATGTGTATTGTCACTGCATAAGCACAAACCCAGTAATTACTTTGGATGCGCTGCTATTTGCCATCTATGCCGAGCGTGGCTGGGCATTCAGTTGACGCATTATAAAATATGGTGTGCAACAAATTCAAACTTATGCACTATTGAATTACAATTAAACAGACATGGCAGCCAAGAGCCGGTCTGATGGAAAAAGGCATTTTCGTGCAGACCAAACTGAAATACACTGCAGGCCGTTTCTTGCAGGTGTGACCCAGAAAGTATGTTGGATGAGCATCAGAAGCCTCTTGGGTTATTAATCCACCAAATCATAATGAAAATGTGCCATTAACTTTTCGCTGGAAACACTTATAATCGGGAAGAGAAATCATTGAAGTAAAAGGAACTTGCTTTCAGATGAAAATTTCAGAGTAACTGTCCAGCTGCTCGAAAGATGGTCATGACAGACAATCTACTAATATTCTAAATATATTTCAGTTTGTAGTGCTATTTTTATAAAGTGTGTGTTATACAGCAAGAGTAAAAGAGCAAAATATAAAGGCAACATGCATTGCAACAGTCACAAAGAATTTAAAACTGTTTTAGAAATTTTTCCTCTCAGATGACTTCTACTGTCTGTAATAATACCATTCTTTTTACTCCTATTGGAACCAACAGCTTGGCTCACAGATTTATTTCTCCAAAATCCCACCCCACCAATGATCCAAACAGCTGTAGGCGAGGAGGAGTTAATGAGGTCTATAGTGGAGTGAGTGGGCCTCCAGTCAGTTCATGTTTCTTGTGTGCATATATCTCCTGGTGCTTCCTCCTTCTTCTGACCTTTAAAGCCCCAGCTGCTCAATCAGGCCTAATGGAGAGGAGAAGACATCAGCTCTCCACACAGAGCCCCAGCAACTGGTCCAATGATGGAAATGATTCCAAAATCTTGTTAGATGAATCCATAAAATCATGTGAGCCACCAAATTGCAGGTTCGAAAATATACAAAAACAATGAAGATGGTAAAACTATTTGGTCGAGGGAATACAAAGCAGTATCTGGAGAAAAGCAAGAAGGTTTGGGTCAGGTAGGGGCAAGGAAAGGGAGGGGTGAGAAGACACGTGGGGGACAGTGACACTGCTGACATGATAAATGAGTTTACCGAAAACTGAGGTGCAAATTAAACCCTTTTTTCACCGCTGCTCCCTCTGTGCCCACTTCGCTGTACTCTCCTCTCCCTCTCCCTCTCCTCTCTTCCCCTTCTGCTCTCTTCTCTCGTCTCTGCTCTGTAATGACCATTCATCAGCATTACAGGAACCTGTCCCTTTCAGCACTGCCTGTTCATTAATACAGCCAGCCCTAGGCTCCTCTGCACCCGTCTGCTCCAGTCTAGGAGGGGGTCCTCACTGCCCCTCGTCTAGCCAAATGACCACCATCTTTCACGCCAGAGAGAGGCCTGAGGCATCTCTGATAATGCCCGTCTGAAATCTGTCCAGAAATTCATTGGCTCATATAATAATGAACTACAATTTTTTTTCCCTCCTTGGTAGATATTTAGTGTCACCATTGTGTCAAAGACAAACAAAACTATTACAGGTGGATCAGTTTCTTAGCAGAAATCAAACTTTGCGACATAGTTTCCTCATATCCTTTCAGCGCATTGTATTCATCTGCTGTTCACGTCTGCGTGTGTGTGCGCTCAGAGAACGTGCTGTTTATAATTTGATGGTTTACCGACCACATATTGATTTGCTGGCTGTTGTTTTGCTGCTGAAAAGCTTGAGGCTACACACCACATTTCTGCTTCTGTAGGTCCAAAACATTTGATTACCCCGAATATTATCATTGGAATCCATTCTTTAGCATCATTGTCATTTGCTCAGTTCTAACAACATTAAAATAAATGTGACACATGCATTTAAGAGGCACGGACACTATCTATGTAAGAAGCACATGCCCTACCGTCACATCAATACTCTCCATGTGTCTCCTATTTCTATGTCTTTGCTCTTCCCGAGACCTTTTACATCATTTAAATCAAATCTATCTCCTGCGCTGCTCGGTGACATCTCCCTGACCTTGCCAGAGAAGAGAGAAAAGAGAAGGCATCATCACCTGTCACCTTACTGATAATGGAATTCCCTGGTCCCTCCATCCATTTCCTCTTCAAGGATTTGTGTATAAAATAACACTGTTAGTCCTCCACTGTGTATATTTAGTCCATGCATTATACATTTAAGCGCAGATGTATGTTCCAGGCATGTATCATTCATATCAGCTCAAGGTGAACAAGGTTGAGACTGTAGTGTGATTATCTTTATAATCCTAAGTGCATCCACTCTTTTGTACTACCCGACCTTGCTGTACATTTCCCATAAGTTCATGTGATAAGAGATGATGGTCTCTTGTAGCAGTAAGGTAAGAAAGCAGGAAGAGCAGTAAAGAATGTGGATCTTGATGAAATTGAAGTTCACATAAACAAAAAAGATACAATGGGTAGAAGCTTTAGTGTGCAGTGACATGGAGGACCAACATTACTTTGTAGAGTATTTTATATGTCCCTATAAACTGAGCTCTCTCTCAATTAGTTTTAATGTACACATTTCTGCATCACTTTATCTATAGTTTATCATTACCAATCTCACTGAACACAAACGTTCTTGCTGATGAAACACCAGACAAATATTGAGAGCCTCTTTGCACAACACTAATTTTTACGCCAACCAAATGTACCCATTGGCTCCACTCTAATAGCTTTGCTTTTGCCAGTAATATAGGAGACACTCTTCCCCTGCCCCTGATTGTCAAGTGTGCCCATTGTGTGTGTCATTATGGCTGCTCTGTTTTATGGGCAGCAGTGAGGAGATGGAGGAGCTATGGATTCACAGAGCGCTTAATGTTTGTGTTAATGACCAGTCACAGCTAGCTGAGCTGGAGAAGAGAGGGCGGAGGAAAGAAAGAGACTGAGTGATGGATAAATGAAAAATACAGGAGTAGAGAGGAATCAAGGAGAAGGGGGGGTAGGAGGTGGTAATAAATTCAGGCTGATGTTCCCCTTCCCACAGCCTCAGCCCGCTGCCATCAAGCCATCGATACTCTGCCCTCATAAAGGCCATTCATCACATTGATCTCCTGCCATTACCTTCAAAGGCTAAAATAACACAGAGCAGCTCAGATGGCCACAGTCTTGCTCTATAGAGGACTACAGCATCCAACAGTGAGCTGGGGACAAGCAGAGCCCCAACCACAGAGCTGAGAGTAACCTATCAGAACATGAATGTAACACCTGTGGACAATAATAGGAGAAATGGGCTGAACTAATGAGTCATTTAGAGCAGGCATGGTGGGAACAGGACAGGAGCTACCGTACACATGTTGCAGGATTACAGTCAAGCTGGATACTGAAATAACAAGAGCTACAGATAACAATAGCATAAAAGGTAGTACAGCACCTTTCTACCACAGGAAAAAAATTTCTGGAACCTAGAAACCTTTTTTAGGAACTCATGAACTTTACTTGCTTTTCAAATTAAGGAACCTTTATCTAAATGTAATGTACAACTACCAATGTAGTTCCTGGGATGAACTTCCTGTCTTCCAAAGTTCCTGCCCTGGGGGTTGTACTTTCTAATGGCCAAGGACATATCGTGGCAAATTTTTGCTAAGCTGACCAATGCTGATTGGTCAAACACAAGTCTACTGCAACTTGTTTACAGCATTCACACAGTCCTCACCAGGGGTTGCCAGTAGTATCAATATTATAAATATGAATGAGAATTTCTTTTTTTGTGTGTTTTCAGTCTCTCCAACTACCTCTGCAGGACTACTTTCCAAAGAGTTACACAGCAGTAGATAACAAAGAACAACAGTGACTCTGTGTTGTTGACTTGTCACATGAAGAAAATGTGTCTCCGGAAAAACTGTTGCTTTCCATTATGGTTAATTTACGTAATCTTCTGGGTTCTTCCGATGCTGTGGAAACACAAACAAGAGTGCGCAAGAAGGACCGTTATTTCCTGATTTAGTGATGAGTTCCATTTTTCCAGTGACTATTTAGTGGAACAGGGCCAATGGTTGCCACAAAATGAAATTCGGAAGAAAGTATCATCAACACGACTTCTTTTCAGATGTACTGCAACTCTACCCTCAATCATAAAAAGCCAAAAACACAGCAATAGGTCTGGTTGTGGCTCGGGCTTGACTACACACACATAAAGACGGGTCTTGACTACTTTTAGCTTATTATTCAACTTTAGTCAATTCACACAAGATGAAGACTTGAATAGAGAACCATCTACTGGGCTAATCTTTAACCTCCAGCCCGCTGTCTGAGTCTCAGTGGAGTCACACTCACAAAATGCTTTTCAAATCCATCAGCACCAGTTAATACAGCTACATGCTCAGACATACTGAACACAGATGGATGATGAACAGCTCAGATCATTTCCATGGTAAAAAAGTAAAGCTCCACAGCCTAGAAAGGTCTACAAAATGCCACTGCAAATAGTCGATGAGTGTCTGGCAACTGTTTCTTGAACGGGAGTCAAAACTCCCATTATTCAGTCTGATGATGGGCTTTTACAGCAGCACCCAAGGCAAGAGGTTTTATTAAATAGTAGACAGCATTGGCCAAATGTAACCGCTCCACCACCACCACCGTGTTTCCCTTGACTTTGTCCCTGACTATGCTCTG